AGGGGAAGGAGGGGAAAAATGAGGACCTGATGCCGGGGGCTTAAGTGGAGAGCAAATGTTTTGAGAATGACGAGGGCAATGAATGTACAAATGTGCTTGACACAATTGATGTGTGTATGGATTGTGATAAGAGTCGTATGAGCCCCTAATAAAACGAAAAAAAAGGAAAAATGTTAAACAACCTGGGTAAGGGAGAAACCTGTGTTCCATTTTATTTTATAAATTAAATAATCTGCATATGTAGAACACGCCCCCCCCCCCAAATGGGCACAGATGATTATAGCATTGGAATAGCTCAGGAGGCATTGAGATTATAAAATAAATATGAAGGAAAGGTTTAAATATTCCATTAGCAGATATGCCCTGAGCCCACCCATCACCAAGCAGCCTACCCTCAACCCCTCTGCCTCCCAAATCATCAAGTACTAGCCAGGTCTGGGCACGGGGCACAGGGATGTGGCCACAGGTGCTGGCTCCTCCACCCTCCTTGTCTGCCCTCCACCGGCTGTGTGCACCCGGAGGGCTGCCGAGCTCACTGACTCTTTCTGCTCTGCCAGCTCGGCCCAGGCCGTCTGTAAGCTGTGGCTGTGCCCAGCTGGGGCTCCTAAGCGGGCGGGTAGACATCCTTATAAAGGTCTAGAATGGACTTCTGTGTGGGCCATTGGCAGTTGCATTCAAAAGCTGGTGTTTGCTGTGTGTCCTCCCCGCCCCCAACCCTGGGAGGATGGCTGAGGGCTCCGCTTTCCCTGTGGTGACCTCACCTCCTCAGGGGCCATGGACTCAGTCAGCGGGAATGTTCTGCCCGAGCCAGGGAGTGGGCAGCAGGAGGCTCAGCCTCTGCTCTTTGCTGCAGCTGCTTTGAGGGCCCCAGTCAAGGGCTGGGTCTGAGACCACCAGCCCTGGGTGTCTCCCCCGGTGGGGCAAATACTTCACCGGGAGCTATGTGGAGGAGGGGCTGAATGCCCCGGCAGGGAGTAGGTGAGGGAAGGGCTTCTGTTGCCCCCCTTTCCTTGTTGCTCCCTCTCGTCCCGTCCACTCTGGGCTTTCCAGAATGGACATGCAGTGTCCAGCCCGGACAGTTGTCCTACTTCTGGGCCAGATGCCGGGAGAGTCACACACAGCCCGTCCTGGTGTAGCCTTCCGCCGCACCTGGGAAACGATTTATTCACCCAAAGCCCTGGGCGCTTGGGAGCTGTCACCTCCCTTTCCCTGAGCAGCCCCCGGAGGCTGCATGTCCTGGAGAATATTTCCGACTATCCACTGGCGCTGGATGTGCAGAAAGGCCCGGGCCTTATTTTATTGCTGTGATACTGCGTGACACTGGAGCTATACATGACTGTGGTCAACACAAAATAAAACTCCACGTGCCAAACTTAGATGATCTTTTAAAAGACGGTACATATTACGCTAGAAATAAAATGTTGCATCAAGGAGCCTAAGTTAGCAAATTAAAGATCCAAATAAGACACTTTTTAAAACATTACAAAATGACTTCCTGAAATAAAGGGGTTCTCAAACTACAGCCCGCGGGCCACATCCGGCCCGCCGGGTGTTTTTGCCCCGTTTTTTTTACTTCAAAAGAAGGTATGTGCAACGTGCATAGGAATTTGTTCATAGTTTTTTTTTTTAAACTATAGTCCGGCCCTCCAACGGTCTGAGGGACAGTGAACTGGGCCCCTGTTTAAAAAGTTTGAGGACCCCTGGCCTAGACCATGCTCTGAGAAGACCGTTCCTCATAGATAGGCCATGATTTCTAACGTCCTCCCATCAAATTTCAAGCCATTTACGCGCTTATTTTTTTCCAGACGGCACAGAAAAGACACTAAAAGCGTCTTTCGAAATGCGCATGTCTGTACATACCCAACCTGGGATGAGACAAAGGCACAAGGGCTTCTCCAACCATCCCACACTGGTGATCTGTCTGTTTATAGGTGTGCTTCATAAACAAGTGTCAACAAGGCTACA